TTAATATCTAGCGGTTGGAACGTGGTGTCGTCCATTTCGGGAGATTTATGTAAACAAAATTCATCACGTTCATTTTTATCTAAAAAGGCAACTTTGATGATAGCTTGATTTTGTTCGGTTGGGTGTCTTCCTTTTGTAGCAACAATAAATGTGTTATATTTATTGTAACACAAGTCAGTAATCATTGAGATCTTCATTTGGGGGGTTCAAGCCTCGAAGTTTATCCATCGGGATGTAAGCAAAAAATTTAGAAGCTTGGGTTGAAGGAGCCTCAAAGCCTATAGTTGTAGTGTCTAAAATATTTTCTGATGCTCAATCAAAATTAATCGATTCTTTAAAAGCTCGCATTGAAGAATTGGAAACGGACTCGATTATTAAAAATCAAGATATTAAAAAGCTTCAACAAGAATTTATTGATTTCAAAAATAGAGATAAGAAAAGTAATAATTTGAGTAAAAATGAGAAAGAAAACGAGGATTTGAAAACCGTTAAAACGTTAATTGATACAAATATATCGAATCCACAAAATTTCGAGGATGTACAAGAAATTTTCAAACAATTAAAATCTTATCATAGAGCATTAACCATCGCGGAGCGAAAAAATATTGCCCGTAATGAACGTATCCAAGCTTTAGAAGGCTTATTAAAAGATTCACAAAATCAACTAGTTACCCAGAGTCAAAGGTTAGTTTTATATTTCCATTCTCTAAATCATAGGAATTTTTTACTAATGAAACTTACTTTAAAGGTTCGAAGAACAATTACAAAAAAAGAACGGGAACGTTTGGAACAAACAAAATGTATTTTTATTAATTATTTTCTTAACTTCTTTAACGATTATAACTTGATAATAATTTTTAAAATTTGTTAGCTCAAATATCCTCTACCTTTTCCGGCCTTACTTTTGGTAGCATTGCAAAGCCTCTCCGAGGTGGTTTATCAGTACATGAGCAATGAGTATGAACCTATAATAGATTTTTTTTTTTTTTGCTTATAATCAAATCGGCACCATTCATCTGTATAACTAATTCTAAAGTCGACTCGGTTGTTGAATCGTGACTTTTAATCCGTATTCTGCTCATTTTTTGAGAGTTGATTCAAATGTTGACTTCGAATGAAAGTATTCCTCAAGTTATATGTTTACTTCACCTATTAAATATACTTTTTGTAAAAAACTTTTCATCATAATCTTGTTACAATTGTTGAAATTCATTTAGCAGCTGATGAGATCTACTTATGATCACTACACCGTTAATCGGGCAAACATTAACTGACTTTCATTTAGCGTTTCATCATATATATTTTTTTGATATTCGACTTTGATTAATTTTGGTTTTTCGAATTTTGACTGTCAGACGAGATTTTAATATCGATATCGATGGTATAAATAATTAATTTTTATATCTACGGATAACCGGAATTTGCCCATAAAAAAAAAAAATCCGGACGGACTTTCCTTAGCGCCCGCAACTTATAATGTATGCGATTTACATCTTGTGCCAATGTGCAGGCTGATTTCGGATAGTTTCAAACAATTTTGGATGAAACTGAAAAGTTCACCAGGGAAATGTTTCGAATTTAAGAAAATGATTTCTCCTCGAAAAATTATCAAAGTTGAGTCAAAATCATTATCAAGAAAGTTCAGTATAAATAACTAATGTTAAGTTTGGCATAATAGTTATTGAGTACTACCAATTATTCATAAAATCCTAACTGTGAGGGCAAACGTTAAAAATAAAACCCTCCGAAGAAACAGAATTATTCGGACGTTGAACCTGTGATTATACCAAACTTACTTTAAATTAGACAATAGGTGATATTATTATTGTTCTCATTGTAAATAACAATAAGTGAATTTGATCAGTGATTTATTTTATTGGATAAAATGACCAGATATAGTAGTAACTTCCTCTTTTTATACATAGGCGAATTTTCTTCCTTGAAAATCATCTATGATCGCTCCAAAATGGATTTTCCAACTGTGGACTTATGCGGACTAGTAATTTAAGTATTTCCTGTGATCAAGCTAGCAGAAAAGCTAAAACGTACTTTAAACCGATTTTCCTGACAATCAATCCATTTAAATAATATTTAGTCTAAAATTATACTTGTTAAATATAATATTAAAAGATATTAATAATTGAATTAGATGGAAATAACGTTTCTGAAGAAAAAAAAAAATTCTGCAGATCTATACCAAATGGAGCCGTAATTCCTTAACTGCGGTCTGACGATCAAACGGCCGAAACTACGAAAACGAAACGATAATAACGTTGTTAACGAAGTTAAATAAGATATTATAGTTAAAAAGGGTTATTTAGTTAAACTTGTTAATGAAGTTAATAATGTTTATAATGTTTCTATAGTTTTTTTTTTTTAGTTGTATTTTAGTAGAATTAGATCAAGAATTTGTAGAATAGGAATTTTATGTAGTTTTAATAGTCAGATTTAAGTTAGATTTAAAGGCAGTTTTGAGTTAGTTTAAAATAGTTATATTAGGGATAACTAGAATTCATAATTTAATAAGTTTGTAAACTAGATTTTATTGAAATTATTGAATTGTGTAGATTCAATTACTTTATTAATAAATCAAATTTTATTTAAATTTGTTAAACTCGTAATATAAAATCCAATCTATTATTATTATTTTTCCTTATAATTAATGCAAACAAGACTCTATATATTTAATATAAATTGTTAACCTTCTGAAATCTAAAACTTTGCTATATATATTAAAGTCTATTATTCAATTAGTAAACTTTGTAATTATAAATATTCATAAATAATAATAATATAATATTATTAATTTTAATTATATTTTAAATATTAATAGATCAGATCAGTGTATAAAATTTAGACTAAAAGTCATGTGCACAAATTGTACTAAAAATGAAAAATTAATATATGTATTATATAATATTTCTATTTTTATAAATAATTTATCTATTTTTAGTAATTATTTGTATACATTTTATACTGCGTAATATATACATAAAAAAAAAAGGGATCGGCATCCCTAGTTCAGTTGGTAACAACTGAGCTCCTATTGTGGGTTACACTGCAATAGCCACAGGTTCA